CTCTTTAGCTATATTAAATTAATATTTACTTTAGTTTACTAAACTAAATTATTATAAATATTAATAAGAACTTTAGTACTATAAAATTTAAGTTTTTTATTAAATCTATATTTATTAAGGTTAAAAAAGTACTTATTAAAATTTATAATAGTATTAATAAGGCTAAGAAATATTACGTAGTACTTAAAAAAGTATATAATATTATTTAAAATAAGTACTTATTAATAAGCTTAGAGGCTATACTTTAGGCTATAATTAAAGTAATTAATAATATAATTAGCCTAAATAGCCTCGTTCTTATACTTTTTATTTTTAGAGCTTTTTTACGTACTTTTAACGAATCTCTATTATTATTAAATATTACTTAATATATAAAAATAATTAAAAAAATAATAAGGGAAATTTATAAACTTTATATTAATAAATAAATAAGCGAGGTATTAGCTATTTAAAATAGGCTAAATATCTCCTATATTATTAATTTATTATTTTAGTTAGATATTAAAGTTTAGTAAAAAGGTAAGGGATAAAAGGGCCTATTTAAGCTCGTTTTAATAAGTAGTACTATTTACGTAATAAACTTATTTTATAGCCTAACGAGCTTCTAAGCTATTATAATTAAACCTTAATATTTAAAAAAGGTCGACCCCGAGCTATTAGCTATAATAAGGGAGTACGTTAACTATTTACTAATCCCCGTAATTAACTAACTAATTAATAATAGTATTACTATTAACGAGGTCCTTAATAAAATCGTTATAATAATTAATAACGACCCTCTATTATAAAAAAAGAGGATTAAAAAAATATTAATATAGTATAGTTATAATAATACTTTTATAACTATTACTTACTTTATATTTAAAGAGGAGGTAAATCTTAAGCTAATTACTAAATTCCGTAATAAAGGTATTATTATTATACTAAGAGCACTTTTTATAGAATTTATTAATAAAGAGCTTTTAGAACTAGTTAAGAGAGGTATAATTAAATTCGTTTAACTCGGCCCTAAATATAGGGATATAAAGATATTTAAGTCTTAATTCGTTAATAAGATTAAAAACTAGGGACTTAACCCTATTAAAAAATCTTATTTAGTTATATAAAAATATAATAATAAAAGAAAAAAAGAGATCTTTATATAATTATTAATAATTTAAAGAACTAGTTAATATTTAATCCTCGCCCTAGCCCCGACCCTAATTTAAAAAGGCTACGTTATTTAGTTATAAAATATTACTTAAATATATATATAATTAAATTAACCTTTTTATTATAAGGTTTTTACTTAATTACTAGCTTAGATCCGTTATTTATACCCTAAGGGTACTATTTTATACGTTATATAACTGTTATATAATTTTATAAAATCTAATACTTATTAATAAATAATATATAATAAGTATTATTTAAACATACTCTAAATAATAATATCTACGTTCGACCTATACTTATTAATTTTAATAAGAAAAAGTAGATTATTCGGTATTATTAAAATATAAACTAATAATATAATTAGATTATTAAATAAGACTTTTAATAAAAAAGAAGAGACCGAGCTTAAGTATACTAAGTTACTAACTAAACTAAAATAATAATTATTAACTAACGAGCTACTTATTTTTAATAGTAAAATTATTTTATTAAAAAGTATTAATATAGTACTTAAATAAAAAAACTAAGGGAAGAAGTTTAAGTAAGTTAACCCCTTGGTATTAAACGCTAAATAATAATTTATTAAATAACGAGCTCGAAATACTTATATTATATTAATTTATTAACTAAAAATAGCTTTTAATACGTCGTTTATTACTTAATACTAAATAAATCTATTATTTATTAATTATATTATACTAAACTATTATATTAAATAATAAATAGATTACTTAGACCGAGGGCTTATATTTATATTATTAAATCTAACTATAACTAAACTCTTTATTTTTATAAACGGGTTATTTATAAATAATACTAATTATACTTTATAACTAGGTTATATTATTATCTTTATAAATAAAAAATAGACTAACGAGAGCTTTATAATTAATAATAATATTATTTATTATAGTTTTATAAAGAGTAAAAGGATTACTTAGAGCGTATTAGTATTAAAAATTTACAGAATAGTTATAAGCGTTAACGTTATTTATACTATTTTAACTACCCTAAACCTTATTATTAAATAACTTAACGTTCTAAAAATCCCTATTATAATTTATATAAATTTATATTTACTATATAAATATCTTATTAAGCTAGGTATTACGAAAAAAAAGCGCTTTATAATAAATATTATAATACTCTAATAATTATATAAATACCGCAAGCTTTATAAAATTTATTAAATTAATAATAATAATAACTTAGTTAATAAGTTTATAAAAAATATACTAAATAAGTCTTTTGAGCGATTTATTAATAAAAGAATTATTATAATTAAAATAAAAAAGTAAGTAATACGTAATTAAAAATAGTAGTATATTATAAATAATAAGTCGTTTAGCGAACGTATATACTTTTTAGGCTTTAGTTTAAAAAGAAACGTACGTATTCGGGGCGTAATTAAATTAATAAAAAGCTTTTTTTTAATTATATTAAATTTAACGATTTTTAAAAAATTTAAATATATAAATTATATATATTAAAAAATTAAAAAGTAATTAAAAAAAGGGGATAATAAAAATTCTATATAAATAATTATAATAAAAACTATATTAAAATTTTAATATATAGCTTTAAGTATTTTTAAATAGGGGATTAATAATAAATTTTATTATTAATTCTTGCTAACGGGGGGACCTAGCCCCTATTTTACTTTTTTTTATTATAAAAGTAAAAGATTATTAATATTAAATTATAAAGTAAAAAAGGGCCTTATTAAGTAGTTAAGTAGGGATAGTAAGTAGGTAGTTTAAGCTTATATAAACGGACCTTTTTATTTATTTATATTTATAAAAGGATCGCGGGCCCTGTTTACAATCTTCCCTTTAGATATATATACGTAATAGACTTATACTAACTTATTAACCTAGTCGCGACTAAAAGGTCTGACCTGCCTACGTGTATACTAACAGTCTCCAAGGCTCCAACCTTCCCTAGTTTTAAAACTTTCACCTCGATTATTGCTGCTCAACGACCCAACATGGCATCGACTCTTCCGCCACCGGCTGGCTCCCTCATCTCTGGGCTTGTCTTTTAAGGCAAGCCTTACGATGTAACCAGAGATGACCCTCTAAGGGTGTTTCAGCAGAATGTTTCTCGCGTTCGTGAATACATCGAGAAAAGACTGGCAGTATGTTGGATCATTTCATAGTAATTGTAACTCAGTGATGATGGTCTTCATTTTTCCTGGAGCCACAGTATTTAGGCCATAGCTTATCATAATATCTAGGACTTTGATGGACTTGGTACTCTCGTTGAGCTCAAGCTCGGGGACGGATCAGAGTACTTGAGTCCCCCTATCTTCATTGATTCCACATCAACGAGTGCAGCACTGCTCGATAACATCCCAGATGATGTTCAGCCTGGAGTCACGGTAAATATTTTGCCGGAGTACATCCTCGATGTCATTGAAGGCCGCATGCACGCAGTTCACGCCTTTGGCAAGCGCGCAAAGCCTCCGTGTCGTGGGAGCTTCCCAATGTGCTTTGCTCCGGGCGGACGTCCCCAGTCTGTTGTCAACGCAGATAAGCTGGATCCTCAAGATCTGCCAAAACCCACTGAGGACGCTGGGCAGATTAAACGCGATCTTCAGAAATGGGGATACGCAATGGTGAAGAATGCTCTTTCGGCGGATCAGGTTGAGATTCTCAAGGCTGCTGTTGAAGAACAAGCAGCTGGCGAACGATTGGCCGGTGTAGCCCACATGGACGGTTCCCATGTGCATGCTGACGATCAACCGAATCAACGAGTCTGGTAAGCTAACATTGGACTTTTGTGCCTTTCATCTTGCAAGATTGCTTTGGCTTCTTCTGAGTCGTATTGGACACAGCCAACTGATAATTTCATATAGGAGTCTTCCCAACAAAGGCGATGAGTTTTTGGATCTTTTGAATCATCCTCTTATCGATGCAATTATGCCCTGGTTCCTAGGTAATGCGTTCAAGCTCCATTCTATGGGCGCCAACATTGCTCGACCTGCAAAGTCTGGTATCTATATGCATCGTGATCAGATGGGACTCACCCCCGAGACAATCGATCACGCTTACCTTTTGAATGCTATGTGGTATTTGGTGGATGTTACGGAAGAGAGAGGCGCCACCCGTATGTATCCCGGGTCTCACAACAAGAATGTCGCGCCGCCTGTTATTAATCAAGTTGTAAGTCATTGCCATTTTGTTTGCCTCATAGGTTGCCCAAAATTTGCTAGATATCTTATTCATTATTACTAGGGCGGATCCGTTCCGGCGGCAGCTCCCGCTGGAACATGTGTGCTCTTGGACAGCCGAACCTGGCACTCGACTGGCGTGAACACGTCAGACACGACACGACCTATCATTCTGTCAGCATTCTGCCGCTTCTTTTTGCAGGCCATGGAGAACTACCCGGAGCTCATGAATGCGGAGACCAAGGCAAAATTATCTGACAGACAGCTGGGGCTTTTGGGATTCCGCGTTCCAGTGCGAGATGGAAAGCGGGCGCAAGCGTACACTGCGTATAATTACCCAGGCGCGGATTTTGGAAAGTCGAGGGCATCGGCAGATATTGCATGGCTCCCCAGCAAGACGAACGGGAAATCTTAGACTAAACATGCTAGTCGATATTGTCTCTTCATGGAATAACGTGATGCAAAGGCCTAGGTAGAGAGAAATATAGTTCCTGATTTGTTCTAGAAAGCATGAGTTTTTTGAGCATTGTAAAGAATCAAGCATTCCAAAGATCTTGAAAGATTTTTATTTTCTTGACTTCATTATCAACCTCACATCGAAATGCACACTGAAGAGTAGAAATATGTGATCTTCAGAAATCTTTTATCTCTCATATATCCCATCTACACTCCATCATGCCAACAAAGGCCCCAAGCAGCATTGTCTCAGCCAGGCGACATCTTCATTTGCGCCTGCCCTGATATATTCTAGGCTTGTTCTCTTCCAAGATTCCACATCCTCCTCGGTGCAATCCCAAACTCGAGGGTTGATGGGAATAAGCCACAGCATATAAATGCCGGCACTCAGAGCAACTCTGGACACGAATGCTTCGTCTACGACAGCACTACCAACCCGTTGCTTATATGCCGACAAAAACGACGAGAGCAGGCCCCTATTGCCAAACTTTGCCTCCAGTATGACAACTTCAGCAAACCACATGCGAACATCGTTAGAAGGATCACCGTAGTGACATAACTCCCAGTCCACGACCGCAAGATCCGAGGCCATTCCCTTGCCATCGGGAACACGTACCACAATGTTCATAGGCCGAAAGTCCCAAGGCGTCAGCGTGTGGATAGGAGCGGGTGCGCGCATTGCTGTTAGCACCTTTTCCGACTCTTCGTCGTTCATGGCGTCTTTAATAGCCTTTTCCGCCAGACCACCAGGTACATAGAACTTGTCCAACTCATTATGATGAGAGCTCCATCCGTCGGGGCCCAGGTTGATACCAGCAACATGCAGGCTACCCAGCCATCGACCCAGTCGCGCACCAATTCCCGGCGCATCCAGAAACTCGTACGTCTTGTAGGCCGTCCTCAGATCAGTCTCACCGACATTGCTCATGATGAAACCGTTCATTGTTTCTCGGAGCACTCGCGGGACTTGGACTGATGGCTCCTGATGGCAAGCTTCTTCCACTGCTTTGGATCTCAGAGCTTTGACTTCAAACTGAAGTCGTTCCGGTGAGACTGGGAAGTTCCGGTATTTGGGGGTGCTGTCGGCGCACTTCATTATGACTGGCTGGCCTGTCTGATGACCATTGGCTGAGGCCTCCGCATCGACCAGTCCTTCGAGTCGCCAGATGTAACATGATGTACCAGTGTTGAGAGGTATTGCTGTATCATATGAGACCCCGTTTTGTGTAAGATATTCGTCCACTCCAGACTTCCAGTCTCGTGGGTGAGGGGGTGCTTGCGGCGTAGAAGACATTATGGAAGCGTCGTTAGGGTTGGCGTGTCGTTGATAGACTCGATGCAAATTTGGATTGAGTGTTGCTTCTCGTAATCGGTACCTATTGCATCTTTGTCTACTCTGTTTTCCGGGCAACACAGTGTGTAAAGTTGCCCCAACTGAATTCTTGGGGCTAGGGTTTAGAGCTCAGCACATTTCAGTTTCCCCCATGTGGTGACACTATCCCCAAGTAAGACATCAGCCTCCGCTCATGGTAGGATTCGATCTGAGGAGTTGAAATAGGCCTGTTTAAGTTTGATATCTGTAACAAATCGTAAAGTCTGTTGATTCTCTTGGGGACAAATTCGCCTACTGATCAGCAGTGTCTTGGCTTTACATGTAGGTGTGCTCTGTACCCGTAGGTTTATGCCAACGTGAAAGTTAATAGATTAGTAGAACCACCGACAATTCGGCCGCGGGATCGACCTGGGGTTGATCCACTCACCGAGGTCCAGTTTTTCTGTCCATGACAGTTTGCATTGCCTAGTACGGAGGACTGGGGTGCCAATACGAACACTAGCATCGGCAACGCTCGTTGGAAGTCTCTAGCCACGTCCCGAGTATCTCGGGCTCCTGACCTTGACCTACCTAAACTCAAATATGTCATAAATCGTGCTGAGACGCTCCACCGCGTCATTAAGACCACGCATAGATCCGCTTTCTTTATAGCAAGGGGTCCCCTAAAGGTGACATTCACTATGGGCACAGCCCAGCCTGAATATGCGAAAGTATTCCTGTTGTGATGGCTTTAACTATCTATGGCCTTACCGCACGTCACGTAACCTCGGTTATATAATTACCGAGGCCCACTTCGCTTATACCCTCTATATTAAAGCGAGCTTTAAGCTTATTTTTTATTTTTAATAAATAACCGTTCTTTTTATATACGTTAATACTTTTATAATAACTTTATAATAATTATAAACTTAGCTCTAATTTAAACTTTTATATTTTTATTAAAAAGTTATTTCTTAAGGATTATAGTTTATTATATCCTTTTTTATAATATTATTTAATCCTTATTATAATCGTTAAGCTTAAACTTAAATAAACTAATATTTTTTAAAAAAACTACTAATATTCCTAAATAAAAGCTTAATTATTAATAAGACTAATTAAAATAATACTTCGTTTTATAAATTAAGGCCCGGTTAAAGAACGTCTAGGATTTTTTAAACTTAAATAACTATACTTTTTTATTAAATCCGTTATTTTTTATAAAGTCTATTTTTTTAATCGAGGAGTATATTAAGATACGAAATACTACCTAAAATTAAGTATATAAAACGGCCTTAACTAAATATTAATAAAGACTTAAGGAGTTTATTTAATAATAAGCTAAATAGTTAAAAAATAAGATTATAATTAAACCTTTAGTTAGAAATGATCGAATTAAGTAACTAGTCGTTCTAATAAAATTAAAAGCTATAATAATAAACTAAGTACGTTTTATTAAGGAATATACCTTTTTTATTTAGTAAACTGTATTTAAAACTATTGGATTAGAAGTTTAATTCAACCGCGGCATATAGCTAACTACGTAGGGGCTAATTAGGGGCCCTATTTATAATTATTATAGCTAGCCTAACTTATAGTTAGAACCTCCTTTTTATACTTATATAAAAATTTATATAATTTAATTAATCTCTTTATTAACTTACGGTTTGAATTAGCTACTTTATAATAAGAATATTAATACTAATTAGTAATTAAATTTTATTATTATAAATCGGTAAGGTATTTTATTATATAAAAAAGACGACTTTTTAATACTATATAAGATAAGAGATTTATACTAAGTAACTTTATAAAAATAGATAAAAAAAGAGGTAATTTTTAAATATTATACGGAATTAAGTAATCGTAGCCCTTTATTACTTATAAAAGGTCGATATTTATTATATTAAACTACGTTAATTAATAAAACTACTTAAGTAACTAGTTTTTTACTATTACTTTAAGTAGTTTTTTTACTAAATAACTTTTTTATAACTAGCCCGTAATTAAAAATTAATAAGCTAAATTAGTAAAAAGAAATACTTATATAATAGCTACTTACTTAATTAATTAGCGTAATAAATAAGCTTAATAATATAATATAAAAAAGTACTACGTAATTAAAAAAAAGGATCTCTAAATATAAATATTCTTAATAAGTATAATAAGAACTTATATAAAAGTTATTAAGCTAAGAGATTTATAATATATATAAAAGCTTAATATTATAAAGATTTTATAAATACGACTTCGAAGCTTATAACCTAAATAATCTCTTTATAGCCCCCTTAATTACTCCCTAAGTATTATTTAAGAATATAATATAAAGGACGGTTTAATAAAAAAAGAGGAGATTTAGAGATCTTAATAATATTAAGTTAAGAATATTACGGATTTTAAAAATTAATTTAAAAAGAAGGCAGCTATTTTAAAGTAGTTTTATAACCTCTTATTAAAATTATAATTAATTTAAAAAAAAGTTAAAAAAATATAGCTTTAAAAAAAAAAAAAAAGAATTTTTTAAAAAGCTATTAAGGAGTTCCTTTTTTTATACTAAGCTCTTAATACGAAATTATTAGTTTTAAAAAAATTAACTAAGTAATAAAAGGGATTATTAATAAATAATAATTACTTAATAATAATTAAATTATAAAAAAGACTATTTAAAAAATATAAAATAGGGTACTAAGAAGCTATAAAAAAAAAGATTTCTAAAATAATTAACCCTATTTAATACGAGTAATAAAGTAGTAAGTATTTTTAATAAGTCTTTTAAATCTTTAATGTTATAAAAAAAAGAGCTTAACTTTACTAATTATATTTAATAACCTATTTAGCTCTTAATAACCTATCTAACTCTTTTATAAAACGCCTAGTATTTATTTTTAACTATTTTTCTAAAATACTACTTTAAAAAAAATAAGTTAAAAAAAGAAGTAATTTAGAAATTATAAAAAGTACGAGGCTTAAGAAGTTAGAAATATAAAAAATAGCGGAAATTAATAACTAATAAAAATCCCGAGATTAATTATTACGTTTTTTTATAATAATATAAACGTTTATTATTATTATTAAAAAAGGAGTTATTAAAGCTTATTTTTTTATATTAAATAAAAAAAAGGATTTTAATAAGTATAATAGTTAGCAATTTAAAAAGGTAGTAGTAATTATTAAAAATAGTAAAAACGAGAGTAGTAGCGAAATAGTAAGAGGAAGTAGGAATTACCTAGACCCCGATAAATTCGTTAAGTAATAAAAGTACGGATTTATTATAACTAGCGCGCGGATTAAATATATTTTTATTAAAATTAAATATATTAATAATTATTAATATAAGTATAAGTTAGAATACGACCCTTAGCGAGTTAGGATAAAAAAAAAAGAGGAAAAAACCCGATCTTAAATAGAATCCTAATCCTTTATAAATAAGTAAATATTAACTTAAATTATTAAGGGACGTAAATATATAGGATTATAAATTAGCTTAATGGTAAGTAAATTAATATAATATTAATTTATTTAATTAAAGTTTATAAAAAAAAGGGGCTATAGGGGTAACCCCTATTTTACGAAATTATAAATAATTTTAATTATTAACTAAATAAATAATTCGTAAGTATAAGCTTAAAAATTATAAAAGTAATTAATAAATTTCTTTATAAGCGAGGGGTATTATTAGCGTAATTATAATTATAAAAACTATACGAAATCTTAGTAGCGACGATTATAGAAGAGGAATTCGTACTATAAAACTAAGTATAAGTTAATAAAGTATATAATCGTTTTAATAAATTTAGAAAAAAAGTAAATAACCTAGATTTTTTTTTTATAATTACTAATAGTAATCTATTATTATAAAAGGATATATAGAGGTAAAATATAATACTAAATATATAATAATCGATAATTCTATTTATTTTAATTTATAGCTCGTTATTACTATTAATACGAAATTTAGTACTAATTAATTAATAAAAAAAGAAATAAACGACCCGAAGTTATTAATAATACGTAGTAACGTAGGGATTATATATAAATATTAAAAATATAGTAATAAATACGAAGTAATTTATAGATTTTAAAAAAATCTTTTTAAAACAAAAATTATACTCTAAGGGGAAGTACGAGGTTTTATAAAAAGCCTTAATAATATTTTATAACTATTATAAAAAAGTTAGAATTAGGGAATATTAGTATTATTTAATAATTAATATTATACTCGTAAGTAAGGCCTTTAATTATTATTACGAAGTAATACGTAACCTCAATTAGAACGACTTTCTTAGTATTATTAACGCAATCCGAAATTACTTTAAAATTTATAATAAGAATCTAAAGCTCCTATCTAAGCTATAAGTAATTTTTTTTATATTTATAGCTAAAATAATAAAAAGAAAATTACGAGTAAAAATTTTAAAAGAGCTTATTAATTAAATTAATAAATTAATAAAAACTTAGCTAAATAAGAGGACTAACGAGCAAAAAGTTAGATATTTTTATACTATAGTTTAGTACATATTAAAAATAAAAATAACTCTATACTAAGTACTTAAAAATTATAAAACGCTCTACTCGAGGCTAAGATCTAGTTTTAATATTAAAATAAAAATACCGTACTAAACTTATTTCTAAAAATACGATAGCCCTTATTAATAATATTAAGTTAATTAGATATATAATAAGAAAAAAAAAAAACTAAGTACGGTAATCGTTAATAAGGAGGCTTAAATTTATTAAATAAGTAAAGATTTAACTCGTAAATAAGGTAATAAAAAAATAATATTTTATTTATAAAAAAGATAGATATTAATTAAGTAATTATTTTAAAAAATAGTATACTAAATTATATAAATAGTATAAAAAATTAAGGGTAATAAATAGTAAAACTAGCCCTTATTAATTTAGCTAATTCCTTATTATATATAAAAATAAATCTAGGGGTACGGAACTTAGTAATAGTAATTAAAATAGTAGTTTAAAATATCCGCTCCCCTTAAAAAATTTAGAAAATAAAAAAGATCTTACCCCCTATACTAACGAATTAGATTATAATAAAATCGATAATATTAACTACTTATTTTTTATATTATTAGCTTTTAAAGAATATACGAAGCTAAATAAATAAAAAGTAATAAAAGCTTTTAATAAATAGGTTTTTATTTATAAATAGTAAGGGAAGGTCCTTTAGATAACGGATATAAAAATAGATAAAAGGACGAATTTAATAACGCAAAATTCTATTTTTTTAATATTTAAGGAAAAAATATTATTTTTATTAATATTAAAAAAAAAATAGTACTAAGTAATTTTAAAAATAATTAGAGGGGTCCTTTTTATATTACTTAAATTACTTAAATACTAAGCCCGTATAGGTATTTTATATAAGTAAAAAGTATAGCTTAGATAATTTCTATAAGATTATCTTAGATACTAGGGTATTATAATAGTTAATAAGAAAAAAGGGGTAATTTTAAGCACTATAAAAAATCGTATTAGTAATATTTAACACGTTAATAGCGGGTATTATAAGAATTAGCTTTAGCCTAAGTAAAGAAATTGTTACCCTAAGTATAATAAAAATAAAAACGTACTTTAGAATAATAACTTTCTATATTCTACTCGTTAATACCCTATTCTTTTTATATTTAAAAAATATAAATTAACTAAGTATTATATTTAATAATACGAAGAATAGAATTTTTAATAATAAGTACTTTAAAATAGTTAAACGATAATAAGAGTACGCGTTTATAAAGCTTATTAACGATACGAAGTTAATTAATTACTTAATAAAAAATAAGCTTAAATAATTATACTAAAAATTTAGGTACTTATTAATTACGAGGCTATATAATTTTTTAAAGTAATTAAGTAATAAGGATATTAAAATAGGGGCGCTAGAGTAGTTAACGAAAGTATATTACTAATACTAAATAAATATATAGAGCCTATATAAATTTAAATTTAAATTACGTAATAAGCTTAATTTTAATTAAGAAATCGTTATTAATATTTTCTATTTAAATAGTTAACCGGTCTTATATATAATTAACGAGGCTATATTATTTTAAATAAAGTAATTTTTTTAGGATTTATAAATAAAAATAATATAAATAGCCCTATAAAAAAGCTAGATTAATATATACTAAGGACTGCTAAATAGTATTAGAACCGATATTAAAACGAGTTTTAAGTTAATAAAATTTAAAAAAAATATAATAGCTTATAGTATATAGCTAAAAGTCGTACTTATAAAAGCGTATTATAGCGTTAGAAAAGTAAAAAGGGTATATTAATAATTAAAAAGGGCGTTTAAAATTATTAAAAAAGAAAATCCCGATTTTATTAATAATAAATATTTCTAAATAGTATTTAAATACTATAACGATACTATAGGACCTAACGGTTTTATACCGATACTATTAGTATTTAGAGTATACTTAAAAACGATTTTAGCCTCGTTACTATTATTAAATATAAGTTAACGAGCCTAAGTAATTAAAAAAATAATATAGGCGCTGCGCGAGGTAAGTATAAAAAAGTAAGTTAATAAAGTAATTACTATGCGTAATAGGCCTAATATAGGGGCTAATTTAAATATATTTTTAAATTTAGATATACGAGTTTAGTATAAAATTACTTAGTAATAAGCTAAGCTATATAAATTAATTTTTATTAATAAGCGTTTTTACGTAGTTACGAGAGATCGTAACTAGCTATTTAAAATATTAATTATTATAATTAGACTATATTATATAAATTGTATCGAGGTAATTTTTAGTTTATAAAACAAAAAGAGCTAAGGGAAACTATATAACTAGTAATAGAAATATAAAAAAGTATCCTTAATAAAATCGTTATAATAATACTAATAAATAATAAAAAAGAGGAAATTACTAAAAGGGTATTAATATTATTAATAAGACGTTATAAAAGATTACGATAATAAGCTTAAACGTGGTAATTTATTATTAATAACGAGGTAATTAATACTTTTTATATAGTAAAAAAAAAAGCCGATTTTGAGCTAGTAATTAAATTACGTAAAAAAGGTATTATTATAACTATTAAAAAGCTGTATAAGGGATTAGATTTTATTAAAATAGATACTCTATATAATTAAGGGGTTTATTAATTTATCCTTTATAACCCTAAAAAATATAAAAGTCTTTATATATTTAAATTGCGAATAGTACGTAAAATTAAAAGAAAAAGAATACCTTAATTATATGAGAAATCTAAGTATATAATTTAGGGGTATAGTAACGTTAAAAAAGCGACGCTACTTACCTAATTACCTATAATATAGTATTATAGTTAACGATTAATAATAATACTAATAGTATTACTACGAAAAAAGGGATACGAAATTTAGAGCCGTAATATTACTTAGGCCTATACTTAATCGGTTACAAGGCTTATAAGGAAAATCCTAGCCTACTTATTAAAAGAAATAGCTAATAAGTACTTAGAAAGTACGATTATTAAAGTACTTAAACTATTATATAGGCTCGTAGAATTGGGTACTTATTAATAAGCTATATACTACGATTCTTATATTAATTAATTATTAATAATTATATTTACGTATAACCTATACTTACTAATCTCTAAATAAGAAAGTAAATAATTTAAAATTATTAAAATATAGACCGACGATATATTAAGCTTATTTAACATTAACCTTATAAAAAAAGAGGATAAAGAGCTTTAAAAAATAAGCTTCGTAATAAAGCTAAAAAAGGTCCTTATAATAAATAATTTATTAGTATTTAATAACGGAATTCTTATAATTAAAAAGGAAACCGTCGTTTTTTAATAAAAGGGGTAAAATAAGAAAATTACCTTCGTTAACCCGAACGTAATTAATATTAAAAAGCAATATAAAGCTAAGCTTATACGAGGGATATATATTATAAATATATACTAGCTTAAAGTAATTTTTAATTATATTAGAATAGCGCAAGCTATAGAGCTAAATAAATAAAACGTTAAAGTATTTAATAAGTAGCTTAAATAGTAATAAATAAATCTTAATCGAGGCCTCGTTTATTACCTAATCGACCTCGCTATTAATAAACTCTATATTTTTATTAATAAGTTATTTATAAATAATAACGACCTTACTTCGTAATTAGAGTATATTATTATCCTAGTTAATAAGAGTATAAGTAAGAGCGAATTTATTATATATAGTAATATAGTCTACTACTTATTAATTAAAAATAAGTAAGTAATAAGAAATATTTTAATATTAAAAATTTATAATATAGTTAACGGCGTTAACCTTGCTTATATAATTTTAATAATATTAAAGAGGATTATTAATTAACTTAACTTTTTACTAATCTTAATAATTATTTATATTAATTCCTACTTATTATACGAATATCTTATTAAATTAAGAATAATAAAAAAAAAAGGCTTATAATTAATATTATAGCCCTTAGGTAATTATATAAAAAACGTAAAATCCTCGAAATACGTTAAATTAATAAGGATAATAACCTCGCTAACGTTTTTATAAAAGTAATACTTAATAAGGAGTTAGAGTAATTCGTAAGTAATAAAAAAGTTAACGTATAAATAAAAGGATAGGTTATATAAAAAAAATAAAAAAAAGGGAGAAAAAGAAACGACTTAGTAAATAGGCCTAAGGTTAAATTATATTTTTAATTATAATAAGTAAATCGATAAAAAAAAAAGAAAGTTAGTATTAAATTAAAAATTTAATTTAACCGCGGTATATAGCTAACTATATAGGGGCTAATTAGGGGCCCTATTTATAATTATCGTAGTTAGCTTAATTTATAATTAGAACTTCTTTTTTATACTTACGTAGAAATTTATATAGTTTAATTAATCTCTTCGTTAACTTACGGTTCGAACTAGTTATTTTATAATAGGGATATTAATAAAAACAATCTCTTATTTTTAAAAAAAGAGATCGTATAAATTAATAAATCGTTAAATCTCCTTTATAATTACTTAAGAAATTTTAAAAAATATAAAAAAAGAACTTATTAATTTTTTAAATTACTCTTTTTATATTATAATCTGGGTTCTTAAGTAAAAGTACGTACTAAGTAACTCTAGTTCGCTTATAATTATAAAAAAGGAATTTAACGTAGTTATAAGTAGGGCGAACTTTAGCGTTAACTTATTAACTTAGATTAAAAACTTCTTTTTAGTTTATTATTAAATAATATAACTTAAGCTATTTAAAGTTTAAAATACTCTTATTTTAAAAACCTTTTTTTATATAACCGTATATCGCTTTATTCTAAACTAATTTAATTAAGAGCTTATTAATATTATTAAATTAGAGCGAAAAAGGGAAGCGATCCCTAATATAGGGTATTATGCTAAGATTTTTAATAACTTATTATATAAAAAGGTACTATATAATAAGAGTCGTAAACGAACCCTTATAATATTTATAATATTAATAAATTACTTAAATTTCTTTAAGTAGAATAAAATAATTTTTAACTCGTTTACTAACTACTTTTATAAGGGGTCTTATTATTAAAAATTAATAAATTATATAAAAATAAAGTTTATTTTAATAAGTAAAACGAAATAAAAATATATTTAATTAGGTAGTAACGAAGCCTAAAAAATAATTCCTTATTTAAACTAAGAAAAATATATAGACCTTTATATTAACCTTACTTAAAAAGGCTAAATTTATATAAAACCCCCTTTTAAATAAAATAATAATAACTAAGGTCGCTTTAAAAAAATAACTAAAACTAATAAGCTAAGTAATAAAAAAAACTCTAAGGGAACTTATTTTTTAAATATCGTAACTATAATTATTAACGTCGGTCTACTCCCTAAGCTAAGTATAGAGAATAATAAAAATAATAATCTTATTATTTTCTCTATCCCCTTTACTAACTTATACTTTTTTTTTAAAAACACGGTTATAAATAATTATAATACTATTTATTTTATTAATAATTAATCGTTTTTAAAACTAGATTCTATTTAATAAAGCGATAATTTAGAGAATATAAACTTTAGAACGGTATCCTATTTTATTATTACTAAAAGAACGAGGATTATATAAAATATTTTTATAAAACTAAAGGGGCCTAAAATAGAGTACTTTACTTTTTATAATATCGGTTTTATTAAAAACTTTTATATAAACGTCGTATTAAAAGCTCTTTTCTAAAAAATAGGTATTTAATACTTAAGTTTTAATTATACCCTTTAGTTCAGTAGCGAATTTAAAAACGTTATTATTAAATAGCTTAAAAAAAAGGTTAATTTAGTTTTTTTAAAATATAAGCCCTATTCGTTTTATTTTCTATTTAAAAATTAGTTTTTACTTATTAATATAATTCTAATATATAGTATATAGTACTTATATTCTTTATACTAATTAAAAAACGACCGATTAGATATAGCTTAGTTTTAATATTTTAAATTTAAATATTTTACGCCAGTAGTACTTAAAAAGCTCGTTTTAGCTACTCGGGGGGTAAGGATTAAAGGACTAAGCTATTTAGAATATTAATATTATATAACTACTTATATAAAATAAGTTATTTTATAACGTACTTTAGAACGAAAAGTAACCTAACTTTATTATAAAATTTTATAAGACCTTTTTAATTATTTACTAGTTTATAAACGAAATAAGTAACTAATA